GGTAAGGTACCTTGGGTGTAGCAGAGTCCACACGAAGAGGGGCAAGGTCCGAGGCAGAGAGCCGGGCGGGGAACAGGAATGCTGGAACAGGAGGCTGTGCAGGGAACAGGAACACCGGATGGTCGGGAACAGGAGGCCGAGCAGGGAACAGGAGTACCGGATAGTCAGGAACAGGAAGCCGAGCAGGGATCAGGAACACAGGAAGGTCCGAAGCCAACAACGACGTTGCTCCCGCAACCTGGGGCCGGGCTGACTGGGCTTTTATCCTCTTCTAAGGCCAGGGGCGGTCCCGGTCCCCAGGAGCCCCGCCTCCTCTGGCCTTAAGGCGAGCACTCCTCCTGGGGGCAACCAGTTCCCTTCGCCTCTCTGCCCTAAGCCTCTGCAGATCAGGAGAGGCCGAAGGGTTACTGGGCCCTGGAGGAGGCTCACCTGTGGCCACTGAGTCATCAAGCCCCTCTGGGGCCCGAAGAGCTTCACCTGGGGCCAGCTCCTGATGCACTGCCACAGGTGCAGGCTCTTCAGCATCAAGGCCTTGCCCCAGTTCAGCCGGCCCTGGAGGCGGGGACTCCTGTGCAGGCCGGGATTCCTCTGTTTCATCCTCCGAATCGGAATCCCAGGCCATCACACCATCCCCCTCCCAGGCCCCCCTCAACCGAGGGTCCGGACCCGGCTTGCCGGGATACGTCGCATGGAACTCTCGGAGGCAGGCAGGTGCATGGACAGTGGCCGCTGGTTCCCAGGAACGGTCCTCCGGTCCGTACCCCTTCCAGTCAATGAGATACTGCAGCGTTCCCCTGCGGTATCGGGAGTCCAGGATGCGTTCCACCTCGTACTCAGGCTCTCCCGAACCAACACTGGCTGCGGTCGGGGACGGTTCTGGTGGAACTCGTCGGGTGGGGCCACCGGACTCAAAGGGACCTGTGGAAGACCGGGTGAACCTTCAGGGTTGCGGGTAACCGGAGACGGAATGCCACAGGAGAGATTTGGTCTACGATAGGGAACGGGCCGGTGAGGCGGGCGTCCAGCTTCCGCGAAGGTCGAGAGGGGTGGAGGTGGCGAGTGGAGAGCCAAACCAGGTCACCGGCGCGAAGTTCCGGCCCCACCTGGCGGTGGCGGTCGGCCTGGGCTTTGTACGCTTCCTTGGCCTGGTGCAGTTGCTCCACCAAAAGCTGTTGCTGGGACTGGAGCTCTTGAAGCCACTCCGTCACCGCCGGGACCGCGGATGCCGGCAGCACCTCTGGAAACAGCCGTGGATGATAACCATAACTGGCCTGGAACGGGGTCTGCTGGGTGGACGCATTCACCGCGTTGTTATAGGCGAACTCCGCCAATGCCAGGTGGTCGACCCAGTCATCCTGCTGGTAGCTGCAGTAACACCGGAGGTACTGCTCCAGCACCGCGTTCGCCCGTTCCGTCTGGCCATCGGTCTGTGGGTGGTAGGCTGACGAGAGGCAGACCTCTGTCCCGAGGGTCTGGTGTAATGCTCGCCAGAACCGGGATGTGAACTGAACGCCCCGGTCGGACACCACGCGCTCAGGTAGTCCATGCAGGCGGAAGACATGCTGAAGGTACAGCTGAGCAGTTTCCTTGGCTGTGGGTACAGATGGACAGGGAGCGCAGTGCACCATCTTGGTGAAATGGTCGGAGAAAACCAGAAGGCAGGTACAGCCACGAGACGAGGGTAAGTCCACTACAAAGTCCAACGAAACTGTGTGCCAAGGGCGCGGTGGAACTGGCAATGGCTGAAGTAGGCCGGGGGTCGCCCGGTAGGCCCCTTGGCGCGTCGGCAGACATCACAACCAGCAACGTAGCGAGCCACGTCAGCCTTCAGGCGGGGCCACCAAAACTCACGACTGACCAGATGGGTGGTCCGATACCGTCCAAAGTGCCCCGCTGCCGGGGCATCATGGGCCATCCGGAGAACCTCCAGCCGCAGTGGCCCTGGCGGGATGTACAGGCGACCGTGGTGCAGCAGGAGGCCCTGATGCAGGACCAGCCCCGGATACTGTGGGCTGGACCCTTCAGCCAGCTCCCGGAGTCGTTCCTGGGCCCAAGCGTCGACCCGCTGCTGTTCCCGCACCCGAACCTGCAGTGGCTGCGCCTCCTGGGTGGCCAGGAATGCGGCCGGAGGTAGGATCGTGGCGGGTTCTGCTTGCTGTACCGTGTCTGCGTTGTCTTCAGGTTTCCGGGACAGGGCATCCGCCTTCAGATTCTGAGAGCTAGGGATGTAGCGGATCCGAAACTGGAACCGGGGAAAGAACAACGCCCACCGGATCTGTCTTTGGTTCAGCTTGCGGGTGGTCTGGAGGTACTCCAGGTTCCGGTGGTCGGTTCTTACCTCCACCGGATGTCGTGCCCCCTCAAGATGGTGGCGCCAGACCTCAAAGGCTACCTTGATGGCCAGTAGTTCCCGCTCCCACACAGTATAGTTACGCTCCGCTGGTAGGAGCTGGCGGGAATAGAAGGCACAGGGTAAGAGTGGCGCTTCGGGCCCAATCTGTTGAGACAAGACGGCACCGAGAGCCGTACTGGAGGCGTCGGTCTCCACCACAAAGGGTCGAGAGGGGTCAGGATGTTGTAAGATTGGTGCCCTCTGGAAACAGGCCTTCAACCCCTGAAACGCCTCCTCTGCCTCCTTGTCCCAGGAAAACGGCGTCTTTGGGCGCAGTAGCCGGGTCAACGGGGTGGTGCGATGAGCATAATCAGCGATGAAGGTCCGGTAGTAATTGGCGAACCCCAGGAAGCGTTGTAGGTCCTTGCGGTTCCGGGGTGCCGCCCATTCTTGAACCGCTGTCACCTTCCCGGGTCCATTTGCACCCCATCCGGAGAGAGCCGGTGACCAAGGAAGTCCACAGTCCGCTGATGGAACTCGCACTTGCTGAGCTTTGCGTACAAACGGTGCTCACGCAAGCGCTGCAGCACGGTCCGGACATGTCCCTCATGGCGAGCCGGGTCACGGGAGTAAATCAGTATGTCATCCAAATACACCACCACGTACTTGTCTAACAAGTCCTGAAACACGTGGTTGATGTAGCGTTGGAACACAGCAGGCGCGTTGCACAAACCGAAGGCATAACCAAATATTCGAACTGCCCGTACCGGGTCCCAAACGCTGTCTTCCACTCATCCCCGGCTCGGATCCGAATCAAGTTGTAGGCCCCCCGGAGGTCCAGCTTGGTGAACACCTGTGCCCCTTGCACCCGCTCCAGCAGCTCCGAGATAAGGGGCAAGGGGTATCGGTCTGGGACGGTAATTTTGTTCAAGGCTCGGTAATCATGGCAAGGGCGGAGTTCCCACATTTCTTCTTAGCGAAAGCACGGGTGCCGCGGTTGGCGTGGTGGACGGCCTAATGAACCCACGCTCCAGGTTCTTGCGCAAGAAGTCCTGCAACGCCTCGCGCTCTGGCTCTGTTAGAGAATATACGCGACTCACTGGTAGAGGCGCTCCGGGTTGGAGGTCTATGCCGCAGTCAAAAGGCCGATGCGGCGGCAGCTGGTCTGCCCCCCGTTCCTCGAACACGTCCTGGTAGTCCTGATACACGGCTGGGAGCGTGGGTGCTGCCTCCTCTGAGGGCGCGGCCGCCAGCGTCCCAGTTGAGCATGGGAACATGGGTCTGGGAAGTGCACGGTCCGTTTGACCCAGTGAATCTGAGCGTTGTGGGCTTCCAGCCAGTCCATCCCGAGCACCAGGGAAGCGGGGCATAGAGGCAATGTCCAAAGTTCGCAACTCCCGGTGCTGCTGGAAACACAGGACCAGGGGCTGGGTCTCCTGAGTAACGGCACCTGAACACAGAAGTCGTCCGTCAATCGCTTCCACCTGGACCGGTACTGGCTTGTTCAGTGGCACCTGATGATGGGCGGCAAAAGCAGCGTCCATATAAGAGCGGGTTGCCCCTGAATCCACCAAAGCATGGGTGGGGATCCAGGAGCCCACCTGGAGGGTATAAACGTACCGGAACCATAAGATGTTGCGAGTCCATTGATGCAGGCCCATTCTGCGCGGTTTGGGACCCCCGGCAGCTAGGGCCATCAGCTACTGGGGTTGGCGGTTTCCCTGCGGCTGGCGTTTCTCAGGGCAAGACCGAGCGAAGTGTCCACTTCCGCCACAGTAAAGACAGAGATTTCCCTCCCGACGCCGCGCCTTCTCTGCGGGGAAAGGCGTGGCCGCACTGCCCCGAGCTGCATAGGCTCCTCCGTTAAATCAGTTGTGACCGTGGGGCTGCCGGAAAAAGCTGGTGCCGTGAACTGGAAGTGTCGGCGACCCCGGGCCTGACGACGATCCTCCAACCGGTCGTCTATTTGTAGACTCCGTTGAATGAGAGTGTCTAGCGTGGTGGGGCGTTCCATTGTGGCCAACTGGTCCAGTACCTCGTCCGAAAGCCCTTCGAGATACTGGTCCCGCAGTGCCGAATCATTCCAGGTCAAGTCCTGTGCCAACAGCCGAAACTCCGTGGTATATGCGGCCACCGTGGACTTGCCCTGTTTCAAACGCCGAATCGCCCGGTTGGCTTGACTCCCTTTCTGGGGGTTGCCGAGCGCGGCCTCCAAACGATTGCAAAACCCCGTATAGTCTGCCAGCAAGGGAGTCTTGCCTGAGTAGCGGCAACGCCCACTTGGCCGCCTGGTCCTTTAACAAACTAATCAAAAAGTGCACCTTGGTGCGGTCGTCAGGAAAGTTCCGGGCTCGCCCCTGAATATACAGCTTGGCCTGGGCCAGGAACATGGGAAAGCTGGCCGGGGCTCCATCAAATTTCTCAGGCAAAGCCACTGGGTACTTGCCAGGAGCCGGTAGGGCTTCCAAGCGTTGTTGAAGTGCCACAACCGCGTCACTGAGCTGCTGCACGGTGTGAGTCAAGGCCTGGTTCTTCTGGGCCAAAGCCACCAGTGCAGCCGCCTGGTCAGCCATGGCCTCTGGCTCTTCCCGAACGCACCCCTACGAAGGGGGGTGCGGGTTTGGCGGGAGCAAACTGTGCTGGTCCCGGGGGTAAGGTACCTTGGGTGTAGCAGAGTCCACACGAAGAGGGGCAAGGTCCGAGGCAGAGAGCCGGGCGGGGAACAGGAATGCTGGAACAGGAGGCTGTGCAGGGAACAGGAACACCGGATGGTCGGGAACAGGAGGCCGAGCAGGGAACAGGAGTACCGGATAGTCAGGAACAGGAAGCCGAGCAGGGATCAGGAACACAGGAAGGTCCGAAGCCAACAACGACGTTGCTCCCGCAACCTGGGGCCGGGCTGACTGGGCTTTTATCCTCTTCTAAGGCCAGGGGCGGTCCCGGTCCCCAGGAGCCCCGCCTCCTCTGGCCTTAAGGCGAGCACTCCTCCTGGGGGCAACCAGTTCCCTTCGCCTCTCTGCCCTAAGCCTCTGCAGATCAGGAGAGGCCGAAGGGTTACTGGGCCCTGGAGGAGGCTCACCTGTGGCCACTGAGTCATCAAGCCCCTCTGGGGCCCGAAGAGCTTCACCTGGGGCCAGCTCCTGATGCACTGCCACAGGTGCAGGCTCTTCAGCATCAAGGCCTTGCCCCAGTTCAGCCGGCCCTGGAGGCGGGGACTCCTGTGCAGGCCGGGATTCCTCTGTTTCATCCTCCGAATCGGAATCCCAGGCCATCACACTAGCCCAAGGTCACCCAGCAGCTGCATGTGGAGGAGCGGGGAAGTGAACCCGGTTCACCAGATTACGAGTCCACCGTTCTTAACCACTACACCATGCTGGCTCACAAGCATGGAAATGAGGCCTTGATCTGACAACTCTGAGACTGTACTATTTTGCTTGCTGAAGTAATACAGGTATTACACAAGACAAGGAAGTTCCATGGATAACAATGGGCCTTTGCTCTGAATCGCCTTTGACTAGTCCTTTCACTATACTCTGCCCTGATTAAGAATATGAGTAACCCTTTCCATGCAGCCATTTTTGCTGTATGCCACAGGTAGGCATGGAGACGACCCATGCAGTCATTACTCTTATTCCCCTTCCCAGATCACCTTCAGATCAGACACCTGGACAAATAAACACAATTTACCCAGTTAAAGGGCTTCACACAAGCAAGCTTCCGTTTGGCTTAGGACAGCCTATAATTCAGAATATGTTCTAAATCCAGTTTCAAGATGTGAACGTGCTACGGTTCAAAACAATGTCGGTGACTTCCACTGCTTGGGCCATAATACAAACATATGGAACATATGGAGAGTGTGTGCACTTAAGACTAGTTTGACTGCCTTTTTTAAAAAGAGGGGTATGTGTCAAAAAGTCACTTCGTTATAAGGAATTGGTACTTGAATTGTTGGGTGATTCATGCTTGGAAATAGTTTGCAATGTTTACAGAACAGTTCCAGTAACATCTGTATAACGTCATTTGTTCATCTGTTATATGACGACACGTAACATGTTTAGGTGATCTTAGTGGTTAGGAGTGTCTTTGGTCCAGTTAGCAAATGGCGATTGTTGTTTCTAGACTGTGATAACTTGACCACTGCTGTTATTGTGATGGTAGCTGTTTTCTTGGGGCAACTTTGGGGAAAGGTTTAGGCCCCCCATTACTTGCAAAAATAAGGCCTAAATCAGGGCATCTCTCAATGAGACCACAGAGGGGTTGGAAGTTGTAACCCCCCAGACATAACTGAATGGCATCAACAACTGGTGGGCCAAAGATTCCTCACCTGTGCATTAGACATTTTTGTTCGAACTGGTTTTCTGGATAAAAGTACGATATTCTCTGCCCACCTCTTTCAAATAAAAAGAGAGAGTGTTTTGCATTAGCACAACTACATTGCATTTATTACTTTGCAAATACTCCATTGAGTTCCTTCAGATGGTGAAAAGTCCTTGAGGCAGTCCGGCTGGCCTTAATATATAAGGTGAAGGTTTTCTGGCAAGGAGCTGTCTGGCCTAAAAGTTAGAGGTTTTGAAATTCTGAGTTAACATCCACATGTACAATTCACCCACCCCGTCCTAATTTCAAAACTCTCAGTCATTGTGTAGGTATCGGTAATACAAGTAGCAAATTCATTCTCAGATCACTAAGTTGACAAAACAGCAGCACCCCCACACAGGAGATAGGTATCAGCAGGATCCCCACATTTTGCTGAGCAGAAATGTGTTCATAGTTTTCGCATTTGGAAAGCACGATTTAGGTAAGCTCACTTTAAATGTGAACTGAATTAAATTCACCCCCATCCTTAACTCCAGGCAAGAGTATGTGAATCATTCCACCTTCAACTCAATTAATTTTTATTTTGTGGGGAGGGAGCCTTTGTACTCACCTTTTACAGCAAACACCTCTTGGGATGCAGTGTCCGAGTGGTATATAACGAAGACTCCAGCACTTCCCAGGGTTGTAGGTGTTCAAATGGCAGACCCCTCCAACAATGTCACATTCGTCTTTACTATTAAATATTTCGGAACCTTTAGACAGGTACACAGGGGTGGAAACTGAGCACAGGTCTTGCATCTGTAAATGCAGTACCAGCTAATCTAACTCTAACATCTGGGATTCCTTAGGTTTCTGTGTAGGAGCTGCTTTTCACTGGTTTCAGACCTGTGCTCGGCTGCAGGCTATTTTGAAGAAAGCTTGTGCTGGCAATATCTTAGCTTCACACTGACAGATGGACGGATCTAAATATGACCTAGTCTACCTGCAACAGCTGTTGTGAAAGCTGAGTCTGTTAACAACCATTAAAGCACTCTGAGCACTGAAAAGCACAATACTGAGTAACATTTCTAAGCTGTACAGGCAGAGGGACTCAGAGATCTGTTTCATGGGCTGCTTTATCTTCCTTCATTTATTTGTTTGCAGATGCATCAGCCTGGGAAAATACGGTAACTTCTTGCATGGATCAATAAACCAGTCTTTGCCAACTGCTGGCTGGGTCTAATGGGAATTGTTAGTCCCAAATATTTGGAAGACACCAGGTTGGGGAGGAAGGCTGACGTAAACTAACCTTTCCAATCCTGAAACAAACATTACCTTCAAGCTCTCCCTGGTTCAGAATACAAAAATGCTCTATCCTTTTAACAGACCCCTGTGATGTCCCCTATTGGTACAGCTGAGACATTAGCTTTGAATATAATAATCTTTATTCCCCACCCACCAAATCTCTCGAGGATTACAGGCAAGGCTTGTGTTAGGGATGTTCATTTTCAGGCAACTACAATGTAGTAATATGCACTCTCTGTGGGGCATGGCTGTAGATGCAGCGCCCCCATTCCATCACTAGCTGTGGATGGGCCCCCCTGCCTGAGCATTAGTGGCAAGCTCTTCCCATTTCCCACTCCTCAGAAAAGGCAGAAGAACAAAGCAGAAGCACATTCCCACCCCCTAAAGCCATTAAAGCAGGTTTGGGAAGAAATCAGGCTTACGGGAACTGCTTTCATTTTTACTAGAACCCCACAATCCACAAACCAAAGTCAGATGCCAAGATCCTAAGCCAGGGCTCAGCAAGGCTTACCAGGCATGGGCCAGATCACTCCCGCAGAGATCCCCCATGGGCCGGACCAGCGCAGCGCAATGCCAGAAATCGCGTCTGCGCATGTCCCCGGCACCAGAAATTGCTTCTGCACATGCCCAGACTCCGAAAACCGTGACTGCGCAGGCACGATTTTCGGAGTCTAGGCATGTGCAGAAGTGATTTCCAGAGCCGCAGAAGAGAGTCCCTGCGCTGCACTGCACTAAACTGGCACAGCGTGGTGTGGGGACTTGCTGAGCGGGCAGCTCGGTTCGGGGGCGGCTCGGGGGCTGGTTAAATGGCCTCTGCGGGCCGCTTCTGGTCCATGGGCCTTAGGTTGCCAACCCCTAAGCCCAGAAACCTCATTTCAGCAGAGAGCCGTTTTTGTTGCTGCCATTGTCAAATACTTGGAAGTCATAACTTCTTGCTGGTTTTCATGTTCTTGAGTGTGCTTGATTTAAGCATGAGTGGTTGGTTGGTTGGCCAAAATATTGCACAAGGTGCTTAATAGTTCTGATTGTGTGAATGGATGGTGAGGGTGATACTGTGGAAGTGATTGTTAACAGTGCATTTTATTTTCATTTGGGAGTTTGTATCATGTTGCCTAGTGTCTATCCCCATCCTCCAATCTTCTCTCTCTCTCTCGTTATTATGGATATGGATATTATGGATTTATGTATTTGGAACTTTCTGCTTGTAAACAATTTGAAACTGTGTCCAATGTATATTTATGTATTCCAGTTATGCATCTGGATTTGCCTTATAGAAAACTGCTCTCAATCAGACTCCACCCTACGTTCAGTTTAGGATCATTGCCACTCCCACTACATGTATACACAGATTCATTATACCTGGAATGACTTCGACTTCGATGTCATCTTTTCTAGAAGAAGAAGAAAAATACAGGGAGAAATAGTGAGACCAGATGGAGACAACAAGAAAAGGGTTGCTTCAGAATTTGGGAGAAGGGTGGCGATGGACCGCATAGAAAATAGATGGCTTTGTCTCCTTTTCACCTTCTTTTCACCTTCTCCCTAGAAACCCAAAGCAGGAGGCCAGCAGTGCTATGATTTGTCTACTTTCCCAGGTATTTACATTTGATGGGACTTAACTTCTTGGCGCCATCAGACATGTGCCAAACCCTAGAGATTAGACCTGATTAGTTACAGACCTAAAAAAGATATGGATTAACTTTTAGACATCCAAGTCATTATCTCATTAACAAATTGGACCAGATTTACTGTACTCTTCTCTTGCGTTTAGCACCATTCTGGATCTTCTCACTAGGCCACCCCAAACTATGCTTAGACTTCCACTTACGGTTCCCTGGGTTGGAGATATCTCCCCTTTCCCCTGGTATCAAGGACATTTTACTTCCTTCTAAAAAGTTTCCTCTCCTGCCCATTCTGCTTATTTTTACATTTAGCCAACTTCAGTAAAATCCCCACGGCACAAATTGTTCCCGGGGACATGTTTTGCAATGACAGCGTGGGGACCTGCTGAGATGGAAAAAGATAAGCATAACACACAGCAGGTGTTTCAAGGAAAGGAGGGGTACCCTTATAAACAGGTGGATATTAAGAACACAGACTTGTTAACTCTTTAGAGAGGCCAGCACACAGTGCTGAGAACCTCAGCTGCACAAAAGTCATGGAAATAAATGTGAACTGTCACAGAGTACTACCATTACAATGAAGATTCTCATATGCAAAGAGCAAGAAGTGCTGGAAAGCAAAGCACTTATATTACCAGACCCTGCAAGTGTCCCTATTTTCCAGGGACAGTCCTGGATTTACAGTTTCTGATTTGATCCTGGAATGTCCTGCATTACCTTATGATGTCCCTCTTTTCACTGGATAAATGTTGGAGAGAATGGAGTTATGCGATCCTCAAGCAGGGGTGGAGGAAGGGGGTGCATTGTGGGTGGTCCATCCTGGGTGTCACAACTGGGGGGTGACAAAATGCCAGGCGGTACTCACCGCGGGGCCTGCAGCACGCCTGAGCATGTCTAGCTTGGGTGTGCGCAGGCTCCGTGCTGACAAAATGGTCCGCCCACTGCCTTCCCCTCAGCTGTAGGGTGGCTGAGTGGGCAGAGGCAGGCAAACTCCTCAGAGGCCCCATGGAGCATCCTGCCCCGGCTGGCCCTGCCCCCAGGCGCAGGGCATGTGCACCACCCCAGGCGCCCAATCGGCTTGCTCTGCCGCTGCCCTCAAGCCAAGGAGATAAGTAACTATACAATCTTTAAAAGGCATCTGAAAGCTGACTGCACAGGGAATTTTTTAAACATTTAAGGTTTTATTATGTTTTTATATATGTCGGAAGCTGCCCAGAGTGGCTGGGATAATTCAGATGAATAATAATAATAATAATAATGACATCCCTATTTCCATCAGAGAAAAGTTGGAGGGTATGTATTATATCACTACAGTGGTACCTCAGGTTACATACGCTTCAGGTTAGATACACTTCAGGTTACAGACTCCACTAACCCAGAAATATTACCTCGGGTTAAGAACTTTGCTTCAGGATGAGAACAGAAATTGTGCAGCGGCGCAGCAGCAGCTGGAGGCCCCATTAGGTAAAGTGGTGCTTCAGGCTAAGAACAGTTTCAGGTTAAGAACAGACCTCCAGAACGAATTCAGTCCTTAACCAGAGGTACCACTGTATTTTATTTCCCTCACTCAAAACATGCTGATTGGATAGCACTTGTAAAACCATGCCCTCTCATTGCAAGCTGCACTTGTCAGTTTTTTTTTTATAAATAATTTTTATTAACCGGACAATCAAATCAAATTAAATCACATCACATAAATTCCGAATTACAAAGCCGAATTTTAAATTTTGTTGGGGGGACCCATATTTCAAGATCCGAAGGGGGATTCTGATCATCATCTTCTTGCTACTGCGTTAATGTCCAAATCAGTCCAAATCAGTCCAAACAGAGTTCATAATTCTATCCAGTCTTATCTTGCTGTTTCCACATCACATCTTGTTCATATATTTTCTCTTTTTTCTTTATGATCTCTTCTGATAGTCTCCTTAAGCCGATAAACACCAATAATAATAATAATCCTGTGTGAATTTTTCCGTTCTTCCAATCCTCAAATCGAGATGGTTTCCATATATCATCGCCTTCATAGATAACATCGCTCTTTCCATCATTAATCTCGCAAAACTGTCGCTCTTAAGTCCCTCTGAGGAGTTTCACCCACAATATATAAACAGCTCTATTTCTCTCTTTCTCCTCCCAGACTCAAGACCTCCGACAGAACTTCCCAATATGGCGACGGCATTTTTAACTGCATCATTCCAAAGCTCTTATACATTCCACGCTCTTCTTAAAACATGCTTTGGTTCGAAAGTTTATCTCCACACAGCCTTAAATCCACAGCTTAAGTCCTTAAAACGACATTTCTGACTCGTGAGGGGAGGGGATTCTTGTTTAATCACATAAGGAAAGAAAGGAAAGTTTTTTCCCCCTCCCCCATCAGTCATTTGCCATACCGTGTCTTGGCGTATCTTCTCATGTTTTATTCTTGTCTTGTTTTATCAGAGATTTCTTCTGTTAGCAGTCTTTACTCCCCCTCCTTCCTTGAAATATGTGCATTCCTTCATCCAAATGGTTTCTTTTGAAGTTCTTGCAGCTAGTGGCGCGGATCAGGGATGGTGTCCAGGAGTGCCGGAATCCCACAGGAGGGCTTTGTGCCTAGTGCCCCCATCCCCACAAATTCAGGGGTGGTATAGGGCACAGCAGGCAAGGGCAGTCCCCCCCACCATCCTGGGGGGGTGGTGTAGGAAGGCTAATTACTCCCATCATAGTCTCCAAATTACCTCGTGTGGGTCGGAGAGATGTTATTGTCAGCCATCTTCCGATGCGCCCCCTAGTGGTCCCCCTGCACTTGTCCGTTTTGAAGGAGCTGTCCTGTCCCATTTCTCCTCGTCCTGGTGTTTCCTTATAGCAGTGGTTTTCAACCAGTGTGCCATGGTACCCCAGGGGTGCCGTGGGCAACACTGGCCTCTGTCCCTCTTTCCTCTCCTCCCTCCTCTGATGCCCTCTAGCACCTCTGCCTCCCAAAGGCTTACACAGCTGTTTGTTGCAGCAGCCCTGGCTGCAAGTTCCCCAGGCGAATGGTGCCTCTGGGGCTGGTTGCCAGGAGCTGAGGTGGCCTCAGAGTAAGCAACCAGTGGGCAAGGGAGCACAGCCAGCCAGTCTACCAGTCCTTGCTGTTGGGAATGGACAGACAACTCCCAGGCCCTTGTGGGGTAGTGTGAAGAGGCACCTCTCTTTGGTGTGGGGTGGGGAGAGCTCAGAGACCAGGGGCAGTAGCAGCTGCTGCGCAGAGGACTCCCAAGGAGAGGGGAGAGGAGAGGAGGCTGAGGGAAGCCTCCACAAGGGAGGGTGTTTGAAAAAGGGCGAGAGACTACCAGCTCTGCAGGCAACAGGTGACACAACTGGGCTCCTCAGCCCCACAGAGGTGCCGCAGAAAGAGTGTAGTTGGTCAAGGGAGCCATGGACTCAAAAAGGTTGAAAACCTCTGACTTATACAGTCAGCTTAGAAGCATAGTTTTGATCAGACACATCTCTGCAGGATTTCCCCCTTTACATCTGAATCACCAAGGCACTGCAAATAACTTCAGAAGTCCTTGCTCCAGCTCAGAAGTCCTTGCTCTGGTTTGTACTTTTCTCATCCATGTCTGAGTGCTTTCCTTTTGTTCCCACGGCTTCCCCTGGGAAAACCTGATATTTAACACTGAATCAAAACCAACAGCAATTTAGGTTTTCCACAATTGCTGAAAGGGTTAAAGAGTGGGTTTTCATGGGGAAAGTGTCAAGGCAACATACTAGACTTTTTATTTCCCTCCCATTTTGTCCCTCCGCCCCCATATTCTCACCTTCGACAGCAAGGCCTCCTTCTGTAGCATCGCTGAATAAATGTATCACCTGGATGACATAAGTCAATAGCACAATAGCCGTCAGCATCAATACATCGCTTTAGTGCTGGAACCATATAGCCTACAGAAAGGAAACCCTCTATTAAAGATAGATTTTTGGAGAGGTGCAGAAAATATCCCCAAAGTTACAGATACAAGTTTCATCTTGTGGTCTGTGCACACCCCTAAAAAGTAAGATATGGAATGTTGGGAGCCCATTTTCTCTCAACCTGAAGACGTGAATAGCATTATTGTTTTTTAAGTCCTCATCAGATTTCTCCCCTAAATAATCCTGAGAGTTGTAGAGCAGTTGCTAAGGGAGAGAGAAAACAATTGTTAGCTCAGTTTAAGTCCGTGGAGAATATTTATGCCCCTGTCTCTTCCACTGACACAGCCTGGAGCCACTGAGTGTCTGGTGAACCCTTAACCTTGACAAATGCTCTTCCCCAAGTCCACCTTGAATAGCTCCTCACCAGATGCATCCAGGAGAACCACCGAGACCAGAAATAAACTGATGCAAAAGATCTTCATGTTTGAAAGAAGACAGGTGGGAAGACTCTGCTGCTGGGGAGGATGAGCAAAACTGAGAGATGAGAACTCAGCAAGCCCTTAAAAGCAGGTTGGCACTGTGGTTCTCCATGGGATGGTTGCAACAGTTCATGAAGCTGGCAAAGGTTCTTAAAGGGGGCATATTTATTGAGGCGTTCTCTTGATGGCGCTTCTGCATATATCCAGTCGCTTCTCTGCAGATCAAAGGGAAATCTTGTTCCTTCTGGTGGACATGAACTGAAATGTTCCTTAAATGGAATAATCTGAATTGTTTTGCTTCTCTGCCCCAACTCCTTATTTGGGTTTCTTCATTTACAGGTGATAGGGAGGAACCAAATGTACTGCAGTCCCTCAATCTCATATTTTTAGAGCCCACTTTAAAAGCTAAATGTTCTGATCTCAGTCTTGTGTCTCTACAGACCACAGGCGAGCCTTATCTTCAGAAATATTGGGTCTGAAAGGAACAGGGAATCATGACAGATGCACATGAAATGGTGTGTGGCATAGAAAAGCCAGATAGAGATATGTTGTCCCTTCTTCTCTCATAATATTCATCCAGTTAAGCAGATTGTTGGGAGATTCAGGGCATGGGCGGGGGGAGGATTTCTCAAACAGCACATTGTGAAAGAATAACACCTGCTACCATAGTATATAATGATATCTGCCAGTTTGGACGGCTTTAAAATAGAGGGACACAAACTCATGAGCTGGGTGGTGCTGAGAATAGCAGTGATCATGAGTTCAAGATTGGAGCCAGTAGGCTGGCAAGTACCCTGCTGCTGTGGAATCACAAGTGGGGAGGGCACAAGCTGGTACACTTGGTTCCTGCTTTGAGCTTCCAATCAAACATACGCATATGCACATACAAATATAGATCAGCCATTTATTTGTCAGGAGCTTGTCCTACACTTGAGTAGGACCCTGGCAGAGACACATGCCCGACTAGCATGTTCTCTCCCTCCTGGTTGATCATTCAGGAGCTTCAGAAGCTTTCTTCAGCCCGAACATCACAGAGACCAATGCCAACAGACATCGGCACACATAGGGATCCGCAGAGTGTTTGCAGTGTGTGTAACAGACCTCAGCAACTCAGCATTTTGGCTAATCTACTTTATTTACATATAAACACACATGGAGCACTGCAACATGGCTCCCTCTCTCTCTAGCAGCAGACAGCAAAGAGAAAAAGAACAAAAAGAGCAATAGTCCCACTTCACAGAACACAGTAACACAAACACTCTGCCTCTGTCACTTCCCACTCTGTGGAGTCAAAATATATACCATCATGTAATAGACAAAAAGGGACACGGGTGGCGCTGTGGGTAAAACCTCAGTGCCTAGGACTTGCTGATCATAAGGTCGGCGGTTTGAATCCCTGTGACGGGGTGAGCTCCCGTCATTTGGTCCCAGCTCCTGCCAACCTAGCAGTTCGAAAGCACCCCTAAGTGCAAGTAGATAAATAGGGACCGCTTTATAGCGGGAAGGTAAACGGCGTTTCCGTGTGCTGCGCTGGTGCTGGCTCGCCAGATGCAGCTTAGTCACGCTGGCCACGTGACCCGGAAGTGTCTTCAGACAGCGCCGGCTCCTGGCCTCTTGAGCGAGATGAGCGCGCAACCCTAGAGTTGGTCACGACTGGCCCTGACGGGCAGGGGTACCTTTACCTTTAATAGACAAAAATCCCATGACTGCAATCATGGAGCAGGAATTCTAACAATATTAGCTCTCGGTGAAACCTGACATTCCAGAGCCTAGCAGAGACTAATTTTATAGTCCGCAACACAACACCCCCCACCCTCTTAGAACTGTTTCAGTCTGCTATAACAAGACATGGAATCAGAAGTTAAAAGGAATGATGTCATTGAAGCTCATAATTGTCTTCTTCTGTACAAGGATTTGTTAGATTTTAATGCTCAGGTGTACTACAAAGAGTGTTATCCCTACTATCACACTGAAGTGAAGACAGTCAGTGGCATAGCGTAGCGGGGCTGGGAGGCCATGGCACTGGGTGTTTTGTGTGTGTGTGTTTTTAGGGGGTGCAACCAGCCTGGCTCTGGTGCAAGGGAGCTGCTGAGACAGCTTTTTCACACGATGGCCCAATGCCACCATCTGTAGCTCCACCCCAGGGTCAAGATTGATTTGTGGGTGGCGAGAGGAGAGTGGTGGCGCTGCTTGGCCCAGTCATGCCTCAGGTGGTGATAGCATACATTCTTCCACTGAAGATACTGATTGCAGGAGATGAGTTAAAGGGCACTCTATGCAGCTGCAGCCAACATTCCACAAACCTGTTTACTCTGGCCTTAGATGATGACTGAGATGTATCTATTCAGACCAACCCTGTTTTTGTGATCTCGTTTGGAACTGCATTTCTAATTATTGGAAATTCACCCTGGATGAAGGGAGGGTAATAAATGAATATGAAATAATATTGAGCTAGATGGAATAATGATCAGACTCAATATAGTGTAGTTTCTTCTTGGTATGAAATCTCCTCCATATTCAAAATTTAAATATGAAGTAGAAATCTGGTGCCACTGCAAATCCCTAAAAAATAAAAAGTTAATCATGAGTCTCTTTTTCATGTCAAGACCCACCTGATGCTGCAGACTTGACTGGGTGCCCCCATGAGGCGATGCCCCCATGCTACTCCTGGGTGTGGTGGGCTCCTGGTTGTCCCCAGAGCTGTCAGAAGCAGAGTTAGGGCTTTGTGACGGGTTCCACCGCACTGGGTGCTGAGCCTAGGGGTGCCCCAGGCATTGCAACTATGGCATAGTGAATTGAGTAGAGCAGAAGGTGAGAGGTGAGGAAGCACCAAATTTGGGTCTCGCAAAGTGTGCCGCTTGCAATTTGAAAGCCCAGAGCCTACAGCTGCAGCCATTTCTCGTACCTACGGGACCGCCTCTCCTGGTATGTCCCACGGAGGACCTTACGGTCTTCAAATAAAAACATCTTTGAGATCCCGGGCCACAGGGAGGTTAGGCTGGCCTCAACCAGAGCCAGGGCTTTTCGGCTGTGGCCCCGATCTGGTGGAACGCTCTGTCACAAGAGACTAGGGCCCTGCGGGACTTGACATCTTTCCGCAGGGCCTGCAAGACAGAGCTGTTCCACCAGGCCTTTGGCCAAGGCGCAGTCTGACCCCCTCTCTCCTTCTGTAATGCTCATAGCCCAATGGTTATCATTAATTTGATTCTGAATTGATTTTAGAATGTATTTCAATTAATTGACTGTGATTTTATGTAAACTGTGCTATTTTTACTGTTGTTAGCCGCTCTGAGTCTGGCTTTGGGTGGGGAGGGCAGGATATAAATATTTTTTAATTATTATTATTATTCTGTTTCACCTTGATGCTTTGTCTGGCCTCCACCACAGCCACTCCAAGGCTCTGAGTGCTGTCTCCCGTCATCCGATGCCATTCAAAAGCCCCCGACGGCACTTTTCTCTCTCTCACTAGCTCAACATTCCTCCTCATCTCCTTCCTCGCTGGCCTAACTGCCCTACAAGGGTCACCTGCCCAAGGTTCCAATTCCCTTGGCAACAGTTCCCGAGGCTGCCAAGAACTCTTTCCCCTCACTCCAAACAATTGTATACATTCCCTGCATCCCCCAGGCAGCCGGATTATGAAAGATATTATAACAACACCAGGGATCCTAAAAAAACACAGGAAAACCACTTCTATAAAGAGGGTGAGAAAGTGGCCTTGGCAGTAGCAACACAGACCTCTTTCTTAGTATAATAATAATAATAATAATAATAATAATAATAATAATAATAATTTATTTATACCCCTGTATCAGGAAGCTTTTAATCTCTGATGTATTGTGTGTGTTTTATATTCTCCTGGAAGCCACCCAGAGTGACTGGGACAGCCCAGTCAGTTGGGAGGATGCAAGTATCATCATCACCATCATCGTCATTATCTCGAGGGGGCAGGGTCAGAGAAGGAAATTTGCACATTATCCCCAGGGAGAGCTCAATGATTAGAATGGTCTGAGTCCTCCTATACTAGAAGCCTGGAACAGGTGAATCTATCTGCAGGAAAGATGAGCTTTTGGTACTCTAGGAGCATTTAGAAGTTGGTTGCTCTCAAATGTATAAGGAATTGGGCTTAAGCTGATTGGTAGTACACCCAAACCCCTGGAAGACAGACAGATTTTTCTCCCAGCCTGAGCATCCTAGGCATGGGTGCCTGTTTCATAACAGCCTTCCCTGTTTTAGTCAAAGCATTCCACTCAGTTGTTAACCAAAGGGTCATAAAACCCAATTTACAAAGCACCGAATCCTGAAGACTTCATTATGTTAATGCACACTGTTCAGTATTTCCTTGTTTTGTTATTCCGTGGCTCCTTGAGGAGAAACAGCCATGGCAGTGGCAGGCTTTGGGCTTTCATATTTCAGCGGTGCCGTGTGCGATAACAAAATTCAGCTCCCACTTGCCTCTTACCTCTAAGTCATTGTTGCAGCACCCCTTGTGGTGACTTCTCAGCTTGGTGTCCAGTGTGGGCAAACCAGTTGCGCTCCTCTAAATTTGCATCTGCCAAAGGTTATTTATGTATATAACAACTGCGCCCCGTGTAAGATATGCAAAGTGAACCATGGAAAGAGAAGAAGGGAAATCACTGATATTTTAAGTATGTGAAATGTTGATCTGAAATTGTAATACAGAAAATTTAATAAAAATTATATTAAAAAATAAATAAATTTGCATCTGCCATGAACCACAATACCAAAAGCTGCAAATTTTATATTGACTGCAACGTCTTGAACTCTGAATAAATTTCATGGTTGATATCAAGAACTTAACTTTATTTTCCTCTTTCCTTTCCTTGATGAATAGTTCCTGTCATCACGTGCATCGCAACCAGATCACTCATGCACAGAGCTTACCTGCCAGTATATCACAAAAACCTACAAATAGGTGGACATTCAACCTTCCAGGAGGCACAGAACTATCATCAGAGTATTTTGCTTCAGTAGTCTGCTCTTGCTGCTCAACTTGAGATCCAAGTCAAGTTTCAACAATGAGTTTGCGCTGGCTGTTCATGGTTGCCCTTCTGTTTTCTGAGATGCTTCTGTCTTCTGCAGGTAAGACATGCATTGAAGTTAAAAACATCCAGAAAGAAATGACAGAAGAATGAAATGGGGCTGGAAGTCATCCAGTGCCATCATGCCCATGTTATGTTCTATGACTTTGCCCCCCTGCGGCCTGACAAATTATGAATGGAAAGGGTGTTGAGTGTGATGGAGATGAAGGAGATGCTGGCTTTGTTTACAAGCCACAGAGAAAGAGGAGGGAGGTGAATGGAGGGCAAAGGAAAGAGAGGAGCAGAAAGATATCTCTAGGGAAGAGGGTAAGAATGGACACTGTCCTAAATTCTGCCCTATGATGAACAGGGGTCCTTAGGTCTAAAGGTTGGGACAATGAGCAGCTTTAAGCCCTGTCCTCTGCTGCAAGGGGAATCTGAGAATGCTCTGAGCGTTGTAATCACTGTGCCCCATAGGATGCTTTCTACTCACGCTGTCCCATGTCCTCCATCCAGGCCCATAAGTTTATGAGCAAGAACAGCCAATGAGGCGTATAGGGAAGAATCCCAAGGACCTGACAGAGAGGCTCAGTGGACTATACTGTCAGTTTGCATTTCTTAGTGCAGGAAGTATTGATCTGATATGTAGAGATCTTTCCTATTCTACTTAATTCAAGAGGGTTCTGGAAACCTCTGGAAGCTTCTCTGTGTGAAAGAAACAAGCAGAAGGTTCATGATGTTTGGGTTATTCCTTCAGAGAAGCTGAGTACAGCTGGTTTGAACTGGCTATAAAAGTAAGGCCAAAAGGAGCCTGGGTTTAACTCTTTCTATCTCTTTTCCTTCTGGTGTGGTGTTCTATACATAGTTTAGACTTATTATAAGTTATTGTAAGTTTAAGTTAAGTCTCCTGCAACTGGATTTCTTATGGATGGTGCCAATCCTGAATTTATTAGATTTGTGACCATTATGCTCATTTGCTTTCAGTAGCAGTAAAGCTCTGCTGGATGAAATAGAATTGCCTCTGGTCTATTTTTTGGGAATCCTGCAATGTGTTTAAGTTGTTATTCTGCTAACTATACGTTGGAATCCCTTGTTAATATTTCCCCCATCACCTCTTCATAGCTGTCAACATTTCCTGTTTTTTAAGGGAAATTCCCTTATTCCGAATAGGATTCCTCGCAAGAAAAGGGAAAAGTTGACAGCTATGCCCCTCTTATGAAATCCATTGCTAAGAGCAGTGTTTTTTTCTGGGGGGATGCAGGGGTACGCATACCCCTAAACATTTAGTGAATCTTTGTACTTTTGTCCCTTTACTGTATTTATTTTCCCCGATTTGAACTATAAAATGGTGATTTTCTTGAGTCAAAATGAGAGTGCTCCCAAACATTTATATATATATATATCTATATCTATATATATATATATATATATATGCACTGGCTAATAGTATTTCCATTTCGGAGGGAGTTATGGCTGAAGTCATACAGCGATTTATATTTATTTCCTTCACCTCTCATGCAATTCTTCTTCTTTTGTATAGGAAAGGATTATATAATTAAAGGTAAAGAAGCATGTATCAAGGAAGGAGGTCATTGCGCTGGAGAATTCTGTCCTTCAGGTCACACGGAATTAAAGTTATGCTACGACAATGTACCTTGCTGCATACCCTCTTAAGAGCAAGTCAGGATGGAATGGAAATAAAAAGTCCACTTTAATGTCTTCCTAATTGTGCTGGCTGTGAATGAATGTGTCATGGGAATATATACTGAGTTAGACCATTGGCCCCTCCAGCTCAGCCTTGTCTCCATTGTCATTCTTCTCTACATCCCTTTGCTTTACTTCCTCACTCTCTTTTTTAATAATTAGTATTTAACAATATTAAATTTAAAAAAAATACCCAAGAATCACACCAAATAACTAACTATATACACTTTTTAAGTACCCATAACATTAACATTTCCCGTATTCATATACAGTGGTACCTCTGGTTGCGAACGGGATCCGTCCCGGAGCCCTGTTCGCAACCTGAAAGGAACGCAACCCATGCCTGCATGTCTGTGCATGGGTGGGTTGTGATTCACCGCTTCTGTGCATGCGCGTGACGTCATTTTGCGCATCTGTGCATGTGCGAGCGGCGAAACCTGGAAGTAACCCTTTCCAGTACTTACGGGTCGCCGCGGGACGCAACCTGAAAAGATGTAACCTGAAGCTAACGTAACAAGAGGTATGACTGTAATTAGGTGGGCAGCCTATCTTGTTGAGCTGTGTAGTGAGTCAGCTGACAAGGTCAAAGACCTCTGTCAGGTCTATGAAGACAGTGTACCCAGGGCGTCCTTGTTCTCAACATTTCTCCCACAGCAAACGCAGTGAGAAAATTATGTCGACTGTTGACCTCTGAGCTCCAAAACTGCATTGTGACTTGGGATAGACCCTTTCAGCAAGTGACTGTAAAATAAAGCTAAAGGTTAAGCCCAGTCAAAGATGATTATGGGATTGCAGCAGCACTCATCTTGTTTTCAGGCCGAGGGAACCAGTGTTTGTCCTGTTGCAGGAATTTATGTATAGGTTGGGGGGGGGGGTTGCTCCTCCAGCAGATATCATGCACATGCAGCCCACTACCAAAATCAGCACAATCACTTTTGTGGCTTTTGTGATTTGTCCCCACAAAACACTTCATCGTAGTTTCTTCCTATCTATTCAAAGGGCCTCTGCTGCACAATACCAAATGTAAGAATTCACTGACAAATGTATCTATGTACTGGCTCACTGGGAAAACTGGGAAGAAATTCATACAGACAAGTGAGCTCAGCTACTCAACAGCCCCTCTGCCTGAGTGATAATTCCTGGCATCCTGATACCTGAGTGCCGGACAGATAGCCATTCCAGAAATAACAAATCCAGATGAAGACAAAAGAAGAAGAGTTTGGATTTGATATCCCGCTTTATCACTGCCCGAAGGAGTCTCAAAGCGGCTAACATTCTCCTTTCCTTTCCTCCCCCACAACAAACACTCTGTGAGGTGAGTGGGGCTGAGAGACTTCAGAGAAGTGTGACTAGCCCAAGGTCACCCAGCAGCTGCATGTGGAGGAGTGGGGAATCGAACCCGGTTCACCAGATTACGAGCCTACTGCTCTTAACCACTACACCACACTGCCTCTCACAAAAGGGTGTGATTAACTTGGCTGGGAAACAGGGAAATGTAAATATCTCTTTTGTTACACTTGATGGGTGTTTGGTGGAGGGCAAGGGGAATCAGGGGAATCAGGGGGCAGGGTCCAGGATGCTCAGATTACTTCCACCAGACGCCTAGTGATGTAGTTGGGGGGGTGTAACATGGGGATTAGCAGCTAATAAAAGTTTGGGTTCTCTTTGATTCGGGGCTTCCATCTTGTTTCACCTTGCGGCAGGTGGGAGTCCTGTCACAACAGTCTTCAATAAAGATCAATGCTGCTGTTTTGCTCTGGCATTCTTGGTTGGTGTCCTTGTTTTTTGTCCAAGGGAGCCCTCAGATTTCTCTGTTAACAGTCAATAGACAGCTTTCCGGGTCATGTGGCCAGCAGGACTAAACTGCTACTGGTACAACGGACACCGTGATGGAAGCCAGAGCACACGGAAACACCGTTTACCTTCCCACCAGAGCGGTACCTATTTATCTACTTGCACTGGCGTGCTTTCGAACTGCTAGGTTGCCAGGAGATGGGACAGAGCAACGGGAGCTCACTCCATTATGGGCTATTCGAACCTCTGACCTTCTGATTGGCATCCCAAGGCTCAATGGTTCAAACCGCAGTGCCACCCGCGTCCAACTACCTTTTAGCAAGTGACTGTAATCTGTTGAGAACTACACGGACGAAGGTTTTCCCCAGAGTACTCAGCAGGGAGATCCCACAGTAGTTGTTACAGTCCAGCAGTCACCTTTGTTCTTGTAGAGGATCACAATCCTGGAGTCGTGCATGTCTTGTGGCACAGATCCTTGTTCCCAACACTGCAAGAGGAGGCCATGGCGGTGTGTAACGAGGGAGGAACCGAAACTGATGAACTGCATTGTGTAGTAAATAAAATACACAGAGTCAGAGGTTCATCAGTAAAAGAGAAACTTTTACTAAATGCAAATACAAAAAAATATTCAGAGAAAAAGAACTTCAGACATGCAAGGTACAAATGAAAGTAAGAGAGAGACAGAGAAAGAATGACCAGCTTGCTTTATTAGCGTGACCTTGAGATAGTCAAAACAATATTTCCGAAAGAAATGAACCTTCTAGAATCTTCCAGCTTTTTCCAGTATCTGACCTCAAAGATTTTAGCCATGACAGAAACCACCTCTCAGCATTTCTGTTGGGAATTTTCAAGAAACACGAGTAAAGTTCATGACGTTATTCATGCAGAGTTCTGGATTGAATAACGTTTCTTGTTTCTGTTGGTTATTTGTCATTGGTTTGTTTTGCTTTTTTATTATTATGTATTTTGTGTTTTCATTTTGTATTTTAATGTTGTGAACCACCCTGTTATCTTCAGATAAAATGGTGGTACATAAATTTAATAAATATATTAACAAAATTATATCGGTGATGTGGTCCATGACTACTACGGTTCAAGGAGACACAGTATACTGTACCAAATCAAGGAAGTGCTGATCAGTGCATTAGCATGATGAAATAATCAATAAGTGCTATAGAACCACTGAGCTATGAGTGCACATCATGCTTAACGACATGAATTTTACTTTCTGATCTTTGAATATTATGGCTTTCTGAAGAATAATGTGCAACATATAGGGAATTAACTTTTTTGGGTTCCTCTTGGTGAATAGATTTTGTCATCATGTCTTTCATGCCAGTTCATCCATGCAGAGGGCTTACGTGTCAGTATATCACGAATCCCTATAAATAGTTGGGCATTCAGAAGACACAGAACTCCCACCAGAGCATTCTGCTTCAAGATTCTGCTCTTGCTGCTCAACTTCGGATTATATAAGTGATGTGGTCCATGTCTACTACTGCTCAAGGAGACACAGTAGACAGTACCAAATCAAGGAAGTGCTGATCAGTGCATTAACATTCAGCATTCTGTGGGCTGTAAATTCAATTTCAGACCCTTTGCTTGGCAACTGAGTGGAATAATTAGGGAGGCTGCTGTCATATACAGGCCCACATGCCCTGGGTGCAGAAGTTCACTACTGAGGCAGAATACTTTGATTAATGTTCTGTGTCTTCTGGAAGGCTGAATGCTGATCTATTGACGGGGTTTTGTAACGTACTGACATCTAAGCCCTATGAATGGATGATTCAAATGTACTGCTCGTGATGACATAAACTTAATCAAGGAGACAAAAAAAGAGTTAATCGCCATATATTTTGTATTTTATTCATTGGGAAGCCATAATGTTCAAGGAGCAGACAGTAAAGTCCATGGCATTCTCCATTATATTTATTCAGGGTTCTGGGGTTCAATAGCATCTGTTGTTTAAAAAGTTTCTGCCTATATGTTATTTTCTGCAGTCCATGCCTAGTACCCCTCAAGGAGACACAGTGTACCAAAGCAAAGAAATAATGATTTGACTAAATGCAATGTAGTTTCTTCTTGTTATGAAATCTCCCCCAGTTGCATTCAACCATATTGTGGATGCTCTCAGAGCACCAAAACAACATCTTTCCTACAGTCTCCTATGCAAACTGAGCACTTTTGCATTCAAGGCATTTGGTTCTGTGAAATCAGCCCTGAGTGCTCACTGGAAGGACAGATCCTGAAGCTGAGACTCCAATAGTTTGGCCACCTCATGAGAAGAGAAGATTCCCTGGAAAAGACCCTGATGTTGGGAAAGATGGAGGGCACAAGGAGAATGGGATGGTTGGACAGTGTTCTCTAAGCTACCAACATGAGTTTGACCAAACTGCGGGAGGCAGTGGAAGACAGGAGTGCCTGGCGTGCTCTGGTCTATGGGGTCACGAAGAGTCGGACACGACTAAATGACTAAACAACAACAATCACAACAGTTTTCTCAGATAATAATAATAATAATAATAATAATAATAATAATAATAATTCTATCATGTATATCTTGCTCATCTGGCTCTAGTTCCCCAGCCACTCTGGGTGGCCGCCAGCAGAATAGCAATAGTGCTCTTAGTGTTCCACTCAGCTGTCAACCAAAGGGTTATAAAATCAAATTTGCAATGCACCAACTCCAGAAAACTTCCTTAAGTTAATGCGCACTGTTCAGTATTTCCTTGCTTTGGTACTCCGTGTTTCCTTGAGGAGCAACAACCATGGACCACAATACTGAAAGCAGGAAACAGCAACTGTTAAAACAATAGATGCCATTGAATCCTTGAACTCTTAAAATATTTCCCGGTTAATGTCATGAATTTCACTTTACGTTCCTCTTTTGTATCCTTGATGAATAGTTCCTGTCATCACGTGCATCATATCCGGATTACCAATGCACAGAGCTTACGTGTCAGTATATCACAAAACCCTACAAATAGGTGGCTATTAAGCAGTCCAGGAGGCACAGAATGATCACCAGAGTATTCTGCCTCAGTAGTCTGCTCTTGCTGCTCAACTTGAGATCTGAGTAAAACTTCAGCAATGCGTTTGCGCTGGCTTTTCGTGGTTGCCCTTCTGTTTTCTGAGATGCTTCTGTTTTCTGCAGGTAAGACATGCATTGAAATTAAAAAACAAAAACAAAGACATTGGGACTTCCGGTCTGCTGCGCAGGACAATGGCGGTGTGCTGAGTGTCGTCTGCGACACAGAGCTGGCAGAGAGGC